GGGGGGGGGGGGGGGGGGGGGGGGGGGAGAGAAACATCAATGTGAGAAAGAAACATGGCTCAGCTGCTTCCCCTATGGGTCCTGACCTGGGTTCGAACCTGCAACCTTTTGGTGCATGGGACAATACTCCAACCAACTGAGCCCCCCGACCAGGACTGAACCAGCTATATATTATTGGAATGAACTTTAGTTAGTCATTGTGTATATTTTGTGTGTTGCTTAAGTCCATTTGCTAATATTTTATACAGGATTTTTGTTTTAATATTCGTAAGTAATATAATTTGTAATTTTCTAGCTTTTGTGCTTTTTTAGGTTTTAGTATAAATGTTATTCAAAATTCTTCCTTATGTTCTAAAACAGTTTGAATAATATTGTAATTAACTGTTTTTTTAAAGTTTGATAGAATTCACCTAAAACAGCCTGAACATATTTGTTATTGCTTTAGATATAAAGAGCATATTTTTATTGTAAAACTTCTCTCTCTTCTTTGTTAGTTCTGTTTAGATTTTCTTCCTATTCCAGAGACAGTTCTGATTATTTGTATTTTCCTAGAAAAATAATGCTTTTATGCAGAACTTTTCATTCATTTACATAAATTTAGTCAAAGTGTTCTCTTGTAATTATTATAATTTCCTTTGACTATATGGGATTCTTTTCCCCTCTGTTGTCATATTTTATGTTACATATTTGTACATTCTTATTTTCTTATTCCCTGATTATGTCAGTGGGATTTGTCTTGTTAGTTTTTCCAAAGAGTCAATGTTTGAATATAGTAGTTCTGATGTGCTGTTTTCTTGTTCATTAATATATGGGTTTTTTGTATATCTGATTCACTTAGGGTTTTTTAAATTTAACCTCATTCTGTACTTAACTTCTTGTTTCCCAGTATTTTATTATGACGATTTTTAAATAGAGAGACGGTGAAAGTTTTGTACAGGAACACCCACAACTCACCAGCTAGGTTCTTATTATTTGCCATATTTCTTGATCACATATGTACCCAGCTATCCATCCATCTCTCTATCCGTCAAACCATCTTAATTTTTATTTATTTCACAGTAAGTTGCAGACAACCTTACATTTAAAGTCTAAACATTTTAGCATGCATATTATTAGCTAGAGTTTAATCTTGGTGTATTATTCTTTTTATTTTTGAGGTAAATTTTACATTCAATGAAATGTGTGAGTCTAAGTGTATCACTCAATGTATTTTAGCAAATGCATACATCTGTGTAGTCTAAACCCCTACTACAATACCATTACAATCTTTTAAAATTTTTAAATAATACTTGTATGCTTAATACTATTTAATGCTAATGAAAGAAATCAACAAATATCTAAATAGATCAAGAAATGGATTGGAAAACTCAGTCTAGTAAAGGTGTCAGTTCTTCCCAAATGGATAGGTTCCAGGCAATTTCTATCAAGATTTTTTTTGTAGACATACACAAGATTGTTCTAAAAAATTTTTTTAATGTTCTAATTGATTTTAAAGAGAGAGGAAGGGAAAGAGAAACATCTATGTGAGAGAAAAACACTGGTTGGCTGCCTCCCATACATATCCCAACCGGGGATTGAACCCAAAACCTGGCCACAACGATCTGGGCAATTGTTCTAAAATTTATATGGAAAAGTGAAGGAACTGAGAATAGCTAAAACAATTTTGAAAAGAAGCACAAGATGGGAGGAAGAAATCAGCCTGTGTGCTTTCAAAACCTTTTATATAGTTACAGTAGTCAAGGCCCTGTCCTATTAGTGGAGGGATATACATAGATCAGTGGAACAAGAGAACCCAGAAATAGAACCACACAAATATGCCCAACTGATTTTTTACAAAGTGCAGAAACAATTCAGTGGAGGAAAGTTGGCATTTTTATCAACTGTTAGACGTCCATAGGTCAAAAAAATGAACTTCAATCTAAGTCTAGTGCTTATAAGAAAAATTAATTCAAACTGGGTTCAGACTTAAATGTAAAGCATAAAATATAAAACTTTAAAATAGGAGAAAATCTTCGCAATCTAAAGCTAAACAAGTTCTTAGAACTGACACCAAAAGCATAATTAATAAAATTTTAAAATCAACAAGTTGGACTTCATCAAAATTAAAAACTTTTGCTTTCTAAAAGATCTTAAGAGGGAGAAAAAGGGTGAGGCGTACATGCCAGCTGATTCTGTCCCTTTTTATGAGAAAAACAGCTTTCCCAAAAATTTCACCAGTAGTCTTTTTTACATCTTGGTCAGCTTTATATTATGTGGCTACTCCTAGCCACGGGGAAGCCTGGAAAATTGAGGTTTTTAGTGGAGCTCATGCTGCCCTGGTACAGGTTTTTGGTCATAAAAACAAACAAGAAGAAAGTCTGAATGGATATTGGGAGGGCAACTAGCAGTGTATTCAACAACTGCAATTTTGCAGGCCCTCCTGCTATCCATTCCTTTGTTCATGTAACAGTGAACTAACTTGAACTAGTACTTGATGCTGCATATGGAAATGGCTCATCCTGGCAATTACTTACCAAAGTCACATATTCTGCCTTATAGCAAATAGTCATCTTTGGTATCAACCACTTAAGACAAAATTATGTGGCTCCTTAGCACTACTGCACTTTTCGATGTGCTGTGAAGCTTTTTGGAGGAATACCTACGTTTTGTATGCCCTTGTTAAGGAGAAGTATATAAAGCTTTATGGCAGATAACTCAAATGCTGAACAAAAATCACCATGATTGAGAACACTTTTAAAGGCTTGAATATTCTAAAATTTAAGGATGTATGTAATTGTCCTGAGAAGCCTGTGCCATAAATCTAAGAGAATGTAATTATTAAATTAAATGAGAACCAGATATAAACTAATAAGGGATGTCAATGAGTTAGATAACTTAGATGTAATGGACAAAAGCTTGGAAAGATAAGACTGCTGAAACTGACTCAAGAGGAAATAGAAAACATAAATAGATATATAATAAGTAGAGAGATTGAATTAGTAATAGAAAAACTACCCACAAAGAAAAGCCCAAGCTCAGACAGCTTCATTGCTGAATTCTACCAAACACTTAATGTTTGGAATGGTCTACCAAAAAGTTCCTACCAATTCTTCACAAACTCTTCCAAAAAAATAGAAGAGGAGAGAAAACTTTAGGAGACCAGTATAACCCTGTGTACAAAGCCAGAACAAGACACAAAAAACCTACAGACCAATACCTATTATGAATGTAGATGCAAATTTTCTCAACAAAATACTAGTAAACTGAATCCAACAACACATAAAAATAATTATACATCATGACCCCATAGAATTTATCCAGAAATTCAAAGTTAGTTTAGCATTCAAAAATCAAGTAATGTAATTGATATAATGAAATCAACTAATGTATTACAGCATATTCTTAGAATAAAACCCAAAAAGTATATATCTTCTCAATAGCTACAGAAAAAGCATTTAAAATCCAACAACCCTCCCTCAGAGGCAAAATTACCCTGCTGAGAACCACTGACCTTGACACTTTCATAATTTCTGGAACCTGAATGATCTGGCCTTGGTCTTTAATTACTAAAGAAAACAATATTCTCAATCCTAAGACCAAAGATATGCTAACCATATATTGACCCAGTGCTGATGTGACAGGACCCCTACTCTCTTGGTTTGATGAGCCACCCATATGAAATTAATGGCCAGAACACTGCTAACTTCTGGAAACTGCTGCAGCTAAGAGATCATGGACATCTACCAGCTAAGCTGGATTGTCACATTGACATACATCCAACAATTGAAATATGTGTCAGAATCTATGTATGTGTCAAAGCGACATGTGTGTCAGTCAGTATGGGTCAGAATCAACATGCATGTCAGAATCTATATGTGCCAAAATTGGAACATGCCAACATGTGGCAGAATAAATGTGTCAAATCAGAGTTGACATGCATGTCAGAATCAACATATATGTCAAGATTGACATGTTTCTGAATGGACACGTCACGACTGATGTGTTTCAGAATTGGTGTGTGTTGGTTTCAGCGTGTGTCAGAATGAACACGTGTCAGTGAACATGTCTAAATCAACATGTGTCAGAATTGGCACACATGTCAGAATCGATGTGCATGTGAAAGTCATCAATATGGCAGATCAAAATTGACTTCAGTTTCGGCATGTGTGTCAGAATTGACATTTTGTTACAATGAACATGTGTGGTGAAACTGACATGTTTCATAATCAACATACATTTCGGAATTGATATATGTATCATAAGTGACAAGTGTCAATAGTAACATGCATGTCATAAGTGACGTGCCATAGTGGCATACGTGTTATTCGTGACATGTCGCAGTTGACATACATGTGGCTGACATTTATAGAGCATTTTACTGTTTATAAAGTTTTTTCAGAAGTTGTCTTATAATTTTAGGTGTGATGTGGTTCTCAAGAAAGTTATTGTTCGGTTAGCTGCTCACAACTTTTTTTTAATTGAGGTAAAATTTACATTGCATAAAATTAACCATTTTAAAGTGAACAATTCAGCATTTAGTACTTTTTTTTTGTTGTGTAACGATCACCTCTGTCTAAATCCAGAACATTTTTGTGTCCCTGCCAAAAGACCCTGTACCTATTACTCATTCTTCATTCTCTCCTCCCACAGTAAAATTACTAATCTGCTTCCTGTCTCTGTGGATTTGCCTGTTCTGGACATTTTCTATCTTTACAATCAGACAATAAAAATATATATAAAATTCAACACCCTTTCATGTCAAAAAAAATAGAATGGAAAATCCTCCATAAGATAAAGAGCATCTATGAAATCTCACAGCTAATATTATACTTAATGGTGAAAGAATGGATGCTTTCCCCTTAAGATCAAAAACAAGACAAGGATATCTTCTTGCCTCTTCTATACAACATGGTAATGGAGCTTCTAGTCACAGTGATTAAGCAAGAAAAAGAAATAAAAACATCCAGGTTAGAGAGGAAGAAGTGAAACTATTTCTGTTCACCAGTGACATAGTCTTGTATATAGAAAACTCTATGCAACCCACTAAAAAACAATTACTAGAACTAGTAAATGAGTTTGGCAAGGTGTTAAATCAATTATATTACTATACACTTACAATGAAAAATACTAAAATGAACTTAAAGAAGCAATTTCATTTACAGTAACATCAAAAGAATATTATAGGACTGAATTTAAGAACAGTATAAAACTTATGCTCTGAAAATTATAAAACATTATTGAAAGAAAATTTTAAAAATCTAAATAAATGAAAAGACACCCATGTTCATGGATCAGAAAATTTATGATTGTTATGATGGCAGTCCTCCCCAAATTAATCTGCCGACTCAATACAGTCTCCATCAGAATACTAACTGCCTGCTTTGTAGAAAGTAACAAACTGATCCTAAAATTCATATGGAAACAAGGAATTTAGAATAGCAAAAAAAGAAAAAATCTTGAAAAAGAACAATTTGAGACTCACTATTCCCAGTTTCAAAACTACAAACTGTAACACTAACCAAGACAGCATTGTACTATCATGAAAATAGGAATATAGGTCAATGAAGCTAAAAGTCCAGAAATAAACCATATGTTTGTGGTCAACTGATATTCAGCAAGGGTGGCGAGTCTATTCAACAAGGAAAGAATAGTCTTTCAACAAATGGTGGTGGGAAAACTGGATAAATAACACATCATATAAAAAATTAACTCAAAATGGGTCAAAACCTAATGGGTCAAGCTCTTGGAAGAAAACATAGAAGTAAATCTTAATGACCTTGAATTTGACAATGGGTTCTTAGCTATAACACCAAAAGCACAGGCAACAACAACAACAAAAATGGGTCAATTGGATTTCATCAAAAACTTTTGTGCTTCAAATAAAACTATCAAGAAAGCGAAAATACAACCCACAGAATGGGAGAAAATATTCACAAACTATCTGATGAAGGACTTATATAGAACTCTTACAACTCACAATAAAAAGGGTATATACCTAGAATATATATAACTTCTACAACTCATACTAAAAAAGAGAAATAACTTAAAAAGTGCAAATGATCTGAATGGACATTTCTCCAAAGAAGATAAACATGGCCAATAAACAGATGAAAAGATATTCAGCGTGTTTAGTTATCAGGGGAATGCAAATTAGTAACAACAACACCCACTCTGATGACTGCAATCAAAATCAGATAGCAAGTGTTGATGAGAATATAGAGAAATCAGAATCTTCCTCTGATGGTGGAATATAAAATCATGCAGCCTCTTTGGAAAAGTTTGGCACTTCTTGAGAAAGTTAAACATAGAGTTACCATAAGAGTACTTTGATAAGCTGAAACCTTGACCCTATTGTACATATTCTTTCTCCAGGTCTAATGTCAGAGTTTCACATTTCTTATTAGAAGGACTACTCATTATTAAATCATGAAAGAAGAACACAGACAGATTAATGAAGTCTCTGTTTCTTTAACTGGGATGTCTGGCCGTCATGCATCTTTTGATGATAAACATACACAAAGGCAAATAGCTGAGATTTCCCAAATTTTCAGAAACTATGCTATGTTATCAGTTCATGATTAATTTTGGTTTGAGTCGATTAAGGTTTTCAACTAATAAGAGGATCTGGTTTTAGTTATAATTTATTGTTTATTATCAGTTTATTTGGTTGTGTCTTACTCAGTCACCCGACAATGTACAATGATGCATATTGGCATCAATATTTTAATCTATGCTTTCTCTGTAGCTAGACTTGACACCTATTAATTATGTCAGATAATTATGTCAGATATTAATTATGTTAACTTATGTTGCTAAAGCAGGTGTGTACATAATCCTCAAAATGTTTGACCAGTGATACTTGTTTATTATCACCAAATAATTTTCTTCTTACTGTTTCGATGACTGTATTTGGGATCATGGAGGCTGACTCCCTCTATGAGAATATATTTATTACCAGAGCCAAGCATAGTCTCACACATAAGCCAATAATCAAGGAGAAGTAGGATAAGGAGTCATCACCAAATTCTCGTTCCACTAAAAAGTGGGAACAAGTAAGGTAGTTGGGCTTGAAGTCACTGTTTCCAATCAAATAGGTCACTGTCAAAAATAGATGGTGCATTTGAGCATGTCTCAGACAACTTTTAAGAAACTTGGTCCTGAAAATAGTAAAGAAAAGGAAAGCTGGTATAGCTAAACAACTTGAAAATGTATGATAAAATTTTCCTGTTTATTTTTGTCACATTTAAGTAATGTTTTCTGTCTCTTTGTTTTTGTTTTTTTAAATAGATTCTATTCCTTCTTATTCTGAGCCAGTGTATATCCCAACAGGCCTAGAGACAGAGCCCGTTTATCCAAACTCCCAGGAAGATGCAGTGGTTTATCTAGCTGAAGATGGTGGGTACATAATGAAACATGTTGCTATAAAAATGTAATTTGGTACCTGGGCTAATCTCTTAGTTATATTTGTTTTACTGTTTATAGTGGAAATTGCAGATTACCAGGAAGTCCCTGTCTGCATAAAAATGTTTGGTTACATATTGGTCCCAATGTTGATTTAGTGCTAATTATGTTCTTGAAGGTATACTTCAATTTATGCAAGGTTACTTTAAAATAAAACATCATATTGGCCATTAGAATGGAGTTATATTTAGAAGGAATTATGCTTCACATCAGTTTTCAAAAGTAAATCCAGTGGAGAGTTCTGCAGCTATTTTTTCTTCTCTATCCACAGGTCGTATTCATACAGTCTTTCAGATGGTTGTTTTGTTTTGTTTTAATTTCATGCCATTTTGATGCAGTCCTTGGGATTTCTATCTTTAGAAGAGGAAAACACCCTGCATTGCAAATAACATTTAAGACTATATCTTAGAAGAGTGTTCTTAACACTCAAGATCAATATTTGTACTTTGAGAGCTGTAGTAATGCAAAATCTCATACCTGCTTTATGATAGAGTATACTAATAATAAAACAGACATCTCAGCCTATACCCTAAACTGCGCTACACCCTGCATTGCAAATAACATTTAAGACTATATCTTAGAAGAGTGTTCTTAACACTCAAGATCAATATTTGTACTTTGAGAGCTGTAGTAATGCAAAATCTCATACCTGCTTTATGATAGAGTATACTAATAATAAAACAGACATCTCAGCCTATACCCTAAACTGCGCTACACCCTGCATTGCAAATAACATTTAAGACTATATCTTAGAAGAGTGTTCTTAACACTCAAGTTTAATATTTGTACTTTGAGAGCTGTAGTAATTCAAACTCTCATACCTGCTTTATGATAGAGTATACTAATAATGAAACAGACATCTCAGCCTATAGCCTAAACTGCGCTATTCCCGATGAACCAACATAAGGAAGTATGGGGCTCCTGTACAATTTCACCATCAGATTCTATATCTTAAAGTATATGTTAAAGATAACCTTCCAGGGAACATACATATTTTATTTAAAGGCTGGCAAAACAGATAAATTCCCAGCTATTGTTTCCTATACAGTAAGCAATTCTAGAAATCATATACTCACATTTTTTTAAAACAACTGGAGTGAGAGAAGCACCTCTGATTTTTCTGGATTTCAAATATTTTTATGGCTAACTTTTCAATTATTTGCATGGCTAGTTGTAGAATTTCCACACGTAACTTAAATGAGATGTGATAAAAAATTGAAATAGTTGAGATGAGTCAGTCAGGGTCTTGTTAGGAATTGGCTGGCATACTTGCAATAATTTTTTTAAGTTCAGTGAAAGTATAACTTATAAAAGGATGGACGGAGTTAAGGTAGTTAACAAGGGATGGCGAAGCAACATAAGACTATCAACAGAGCAGAACCATTATGTTTCCTCAGCCTGAAGGGTAAACTGACAGCTAGTTTTTAGTCCTGTTGTTGTAGGAGAGGGAAGTCCCCAAACAACTGGCTATATAGAATTCTGGTTGATAATTTTTCTTTCAAAGATTTATTTCTTTAAAGCTTTGTTCCAATGTCTTAAGACATTTGTTGTCTTTAATATAAAGTCAGCCATAATTTATATCATTGTTCCCTATATATGATGTGTCTTATTCCCTGGCTGTTTTCCACAAATCCATGCTCTGCCTAGATTTTGTTTTCTTTATTTTTATTCTACTTGGAGTTTGCTGATCTTACTGGATCCATAGGTTAATAGAGTGCTCCCCCCCAATTTGAAAAAATTTCAGCCATTTTTTTTTTCACATATTTTTCTATATTCTTCTTTCTCTTCTGTCCTTTAGAATGCCAATTGCATATGTGTTGGGTTTCTAGCTATGTCCCACATGTCCCTGGACCTTTGTTAATTTTTTGTCCTCTGTCCTTGAGTTTTTGAGTTCACGGTCTTCTTCAATCTTCAGTATCTTTTAAGCCCATCCAGTAAATCATTAATTTCAGTTATTTCACTTTATTTCTAGAATTTCCATTTGGTTCTTTTTTATAGTTTCCATTTATTTTTTGAGATTAATCTGTTTATTCATTATCTCTATCTTTTCCTTTAAGTCTTTTAACATATATTCAAAGTCCTTTGCAAATCCCATCTGAGTTATGTTGGGGTTTGTTGAGTGTGTATGTGTGTGTGTTTCATAATGGATGAAATTTTCCTGGTTCCCTGCATGCTTCATAAATTTTTTACCATATGCAGGACATTGTGAAAGATATGTTGTAGGATTCTGTATTATGTTATCATAAAAACTTATGTTGAGTTTTGTTCTGGTAGGCAGCTAAATTGCTGGTAGGTAATTTTGCTTCTTTCAGGCTGGTTTTATTTTATTTTTTTAGGGCAGATTTATTTTCATTTTGTTCTTAATACTACGTCATGGCCTTTACCCTTAGATGTGGTTCTTATGCCTAATGTGCAGCCTTTCTGGAGTCACAAAGAAATATCTTAGGTGCTTAGTGAAATCTTTCCACTCTGGATATGTTGAAATTTCAGTATATTCTAGAATTGTATGTCCTCTATCATCTCATCCTCCCAATAGCACTCTTTCCTACCTTGATTAGTCTTATCCTGTGCTTATACAGCCAAGTCCTCCGCGAAGGACTGGGGACCATGTAAACTGTTGAGGCCCTCCCTCTATGTAGCTTTCTTCTCTCTGGTGCCCTGCATCACAAATTTCAGCAGCCCCAAGCAACAATCTTGCCTCCTCAGCCCAGCAAGACTGTTACACTATTCTTAAGTTCCACCTTGCTAAGATATAGTCAGAAAGTACTTACCGGAAGAAAGCCAGGGTTAAACACAGGCTTACTTCATGTATTTATATTTTTTCAAGAATCCGATATAGTTCTGGTCTATGTGTTGTCCAAATATATGAAAAAAAGTTAGCTCGTACTTTCTGTCCAGTTTTATAGTCATTTATAGTGAAAGGTCAAGTTCAGAATCAATTATTTCATAATAACCAGAAGCAGAATGAGTATTCTTAATGTGAGTAATATATGAATTATTTTAGGCATTGCTTTTCTCATCTAAAATACTCTTAGATTTTCTTACTTCAACATCTGTATATTAGTATCAAATTACTTTACAAATTACAATTCTTAGTGACCCTTCACTTATACTTGCATTATAGCTCCAAACTCTGTGAAGAATCGCCTATACTTTAGACATGGCTTAATATCTTTATGGCCTGTTTCTCTCATCAGCTTACAAAGAGCCCTGTTTTGTGTATTCCCGAGTTGGGGGCAACCGAACACCCCTGAAGCAGCCTGTGGATAATCGTGACAACACTTTGATGTTTGAAGCAAGGTTTGAGAGTGGTAATCTACAGAAGGTAGTCAAAGTGTAGGTTTTAATTATGTTTATGTTCATTTGAGGAGCTAGACCATCAGCTATTTGTTACTTTCTGCATTTGGTACATTAAAAGTTTAGTATCCATCACTGAACTGGAATTCCTTGAAGTATAGATGCTAATTAGAAGTTATCCTGGGGGTGGGTGTGAAAGGGTCGACTAATTTTGAAAACTGTGAATTGAAGTAAGTAGGTTTCTGTACTTCCCATTTTCAGCGTGCCAGTATGAATTGTCTCACACACAGACACACACATATACACACTGCTTCTCAAACTTTTTAAAATATGTTTGTTTATTTATTTATTATTTATTTATTTTTAAATATGTCTTTATTGATTTCAGAGAGAGGAAGGGAGTAGGAGAGAAAGAGAGAGAGAGGAACATAAGTGATGAGAGAGTAATTGTGGATCGAGCCCGCAACCCGGGCATGTACCCTGACCAGGAATTGAACCACGATCTCCTGGATCCTAGGTTGATGCTCAACCACTGAGCCATGCTTGGCCAGGCATGTAATTTTTTAAATATGTGGGTTTTTTAATTGATTTTAGACAGAGGGAAAGGGAGAGGAAAGAGGGAAACATTGATGTGAAAGAGAAACATCGATCAACTGCCTTCTGCACGACCCCTACTGGGGATCTAGCCTGCAACCTGGGCATGTGCACTGACCGGAAATCAAACGGACAGCCTGGCTGGGTGTGGCTCAGCGGTTGAGTGTTGACCTAGGATCCAGGCAATCGGTTCGATTCCTGGTCAGGGCACATGCCCGGGTTGTGGGCTCGATCCCCAGTCGGGGGCGTGCAGGAGACAGCCGATCAATGACTCTCTCATTATTAATGTTTCTATCTCTCTCTCCCTCTCCTTTCCTCTGTCTGAAATTTAAAATTTCTTTTAAAAAAAAGAAATCAAACGGACAACCTTTTGGTGAGTGAATGATGCTCAACCAACTGAGCCACACTGGCCAGGGCTCAAACTTTTTAATAGAATAGTTCTTGGTATGAGTGTTCCATAAAATATGCTTAGGAAAATGCATGCTTTCCAAGGACATTCTTTTAAAAAAATTCTATTATGAAAATGTTTAAACATGTACTGAAGTACAGAGGATAATGAAGTTCTACATTAACTACCATATACCCATCACCTAGATTCAATAGCTATCAAGGTTTTGCAGCATTCATTCCGCCTATTCCTAGGTCACTGTTTATAACTCCACACACACACAGGCACACTAAGTGCAAGGTGCTGAGGAATATCAAGCTACTTGGTAAAGAAAAAAGTCACAACTAACCAGGTAAGTTTGATATATGTATGTATTATAAGTAACACAGAGTAAAATTATTTTTGCCTTTATATAAGTATTCTCAGTGACTAAATATGGAACATACAAATAGTGACCAAATACAGTCCTCAAAGAGTTTAAAATTTTGTAACTGTGTGGTTGTATTAATTTATATATGTTTTCAGTGTTCTCAGTGATAGCTATTTTAGATCCCTAGAATTAGAATCTAGTAGAAAACAGAAATATATCTGAAGTATAAAGAGAAGCATTGGACTTTAATTCAGTTTTAAGAACTCTTTAATCATTTCTTTTATAGAAAACATAATTGGAGTGAAAATATAATCTTTATCAAATCCCATTTTTTTAGGTGCTTTCTGGAATAGTAAAAAAAATGCTCTAGAATAAAGCATGGAAGCAGTTTCACACCTAATGAAAGAGTTTCAAAACTTTCATCTTTTGCAATTACTTGCTATTTGGGATGCTGTCTAAATTAACATTGCCCTCTCACCCCCCACCCCCAAAGCTTTCTGTGAGTAGGTAAAAATAATCATCCTCATTTAAAACTGAATGTCATTTTTACCTTTTTATGTGGTTTTCCCCAGGGCAGAGTACGAATACCAGTTGACAGTGCGGCCTGACCTCTTCACAAATAAACACACCCAGTGGTACTATTTCCAAGTCACTAATACCCAAGCAGGAATCGTCTACAGATTCACCATTACCAATTTCACCAAGCCTGCTAGTCTGTACAACCGGGGTATGCGCCCGCTGTTTTATTCTGAAAAAGAGGCCAGGACCCGCGATATTGGCTGGCAGAGAATAGGAGACCACATCAAGTATTACAGGAACAACCCTGGGCACGACGGGCGTCATTACTTCTCCCTCACATGGACATTTCAGTTTCCGCACAGCAAGGACACCTGCTACTTTGCTCACTGCTACCCGTACACTTACACCAACCTGCAAGAATACCTCTCTAGCATCAATAACGACCCCGTCCGGTCCAAGTTCTGCAAAATACGCGTCTTGTGCCACACAATCGCTAGGAACATGGTTTACATTTTGACGATCACAACCCCCTTGAAGAACGCTGATGCGCAGAAACGAAAGGCGGTGATTCTGACTGCGAGGGTGCACCCAGGAGAGACCAACAGCTCCTGGATCATGAAAGGCTTCCTGGATTTTATTTTAGGGGACTCGCGCGACGCGCAGTTGCTTCGGGACACTTTCATCTTCAAGGTGGTGCCCATGCTGAACCCAGATGGTGTGATTGTAGGAAATTACCGCTGCTCGTTAGCTGGCCAGGATTTAAACCGTAACTATACCTCCCTGCTGAAGGAGTCATTCCCTTCTGTTTGGTACACCCGGAACATGATCCATAGGTAAGTAAGCCTCAAATTACCTCTCTGCTTCCTTAGTAAACTTCATAGGAAGGACTGGGTGCAGCAGCCCACTCATGGTACTCTTGATTTCCTTAGCTAGTTCAACTATAGCTACTTAATTTCCCCCCATTCTTCCTAACTTGCTTCTGTACCTTTCTGGCATTATGCCCCTGGATTCACTAGCCTCTCGTTAAGTAATGATATAGACTCCAGAACATTTTAATGGCTTTGCGAAACTAATAGTTTGCATATCCCAAATTTGATTTCTTGCTAAAGCTAATGGTGGCACTGATGTTCACCTTGGGATCCTTGCATCCCTGATGTGTGAAAATTAATTACATCTTATAGAGCCTTCTAACACTGTGTTGATCATACATTGCTCTATGGTTAGTCTTTTGATTAACAGGTTACATAGTTATTTAAAACTTTCATGAATAACAGTCTTATTTGCCCCTAGAAAAAAAATTGAACAGCTTTAACTTTCCAAAGAATTGTAAAATGCACATAATATTTAAAATTTTTGTTGAATGACTAGATTAAGTGTGTGGAGCTGGAGTTAAACATACTAGATTGGAATCCTCAATGTATCATTTGCTGTGTGACCTTGAGCAAGTTAAAAACAAATCTAGCCCCGCCAGGCATGGCTCAGCGGTTGAGCGTCAACCTAGGATCCAGGCGATCAGGGTTCGATTCCCGGTCAGGGCACATGCCCGTGTTGCGGGCTGCAGCCGATCAATGACTCTCTCATCATTGATGTTTCTCTCTCTCTCTCCCTCTCCCTTCCTCTCTCTGAAATCAATAAAGATATATTAAAAAAAAAAATCTAAACCTCAGTTTTATCAGCTATAAAATGTGAATAATACTACTTACCTCCGAGCTGAGAGGATTAAATGAGATTATTGTCACTCAAGTTCCCAGAATAAAATCTGGAACATTGCAAGCTTCAGATGTATTCAGTGCTTCCTCAAATATAAAAAAGAAAAAAAGTTGTTCAAAAAAATATGAGAACTAGAGTAGATTTTAATATCTTACCTGTGAGTAACAAAACTAGCCAAGCTGTTTCTAAAGTGACTTAAATTAATATAAGATGAGAGACCCTAAGATCCTGTTTTACTTCAGAAGTAATAATATCTCTTTGGGGATTAATTACTTAGAAGTAGAGGTTTCTTTTACTCACAAGAAACCAAAAGACCATTAAAATTGGGGAAATGTTGAATTAAAAATATACAGCATATTTCATATTTAAGGAGCTAATGATATCCTTGTTTTATAATCTAGTTCGTTTTCTAAAAACCTGAAATGTCATTCAGTGACTTTATGTCGATCTGTTATCAATTAGTATTTATTTGGGCGCCACATGAGAAAAGGGCAATAAATTCATATAACAGATTACAGTATGAAGTTTCACTGTAGTTTAAAGGACTGTAGTTTCTAATAGAAGCTATGATTTTAGGTTTTAATATTTTTGTTGTAAAAGTACTGTAGCCCACCATCCGCAGTTTCACTTTCCAGTTTGTTTCCCATAGAGTCAGCTGCAGTCTGAAAGTATTAAGTGGAAAAATTCCAGAAATAAACAATTCATAAGTTTTAAATTGCATGCCTTCTGAGTAGCATGATGAAATCTCGCCTTGTACCACCTGGGACGTGAATTAACCCTTTGTCCAGCGTATCCAAGTTGTATATGTTTCCCTCCAATCACTTAGTAGCCATCTCATTATCACATTGACTTTTGTGGTACCCAGAGCATGTGTTCAAGTCACCCTTATTTTACTTAATAACGGCCACAAAGCACAAGAGTAGTGATGCTGGAAATTCAGATATGCCACAGAGAAGCCATGAAGTGATGTATGTATAGGAAAAAGTGTAGTACATATAGGGTTTGGTACTATCCGAGGTTTCAGGCATCCACTGAGGTCTTGGAATATATCCCCTGCAGATAAGGGGGGAACTACTTTTTATATTACTATAAAAACTATTGCTAACATTTTGGTATTTATCCTTCCAGATACAACAAATAATAGATGAAATTTTGATTATTTAAGTAATATAATGTTATATAAAGTTTAGAAATATGAAAAAAAAGGCAAAAATGCCCATAATTCTACCACCTTAACACTACCACTATTTTACCTTTTTAAAGCCATCTTCAATCTGTTTGAGGAGGCTTATTTTTTATTACTTTAATATTTATTGAATGCCTAAATTATATAAGCTAAGGATTATGCTCTTAAGAATATATGATAATTTCCTTAAATTATTATAAATTTACCTGAAAAAAATGTCAATTCTAACTTTGGGACCATTTTTCTCAGAATGATATTTACCCACTACATTAATCAAGGATTAAAATATTCATTGGCTTCAACCCCAAGTGCTAAGGCCCTCAACTGTTAACCAATACTTTGGGCATTTGTGTGCGTAGCACTGTTCCAGGTGACTTGAAGCATTCCCTGTCCTTTACAAGATTAGATGTCAAGAATATGAAAACTTTCCCTCGCAAGTGCCAAGTAAATGGTACCAACATTAAATGCTACAGGAGTTCAAAAGGTGTGTGGGCTTGACTGGTTAGAGAGGAGATGAGACGTGAGGCCAGTCTTGATGGATGAGAGGTAGCATTTGCACTCACAAAGATGAGGCAAGAAGGTACTGCGGTCAGAAGGACCTATGTGAGAGCCAATGGAGAGGAGTGGGGGTGAACTGGTTTCTGTGCACAGCAAAAAGCCAGAAGAATAAACCAGATCCTGTTGGAGAAAGTGTTGGGAATAAGATAAATTTGTCCTTTAGGGAAGGCATTTGTATTTTATATACGGTTAATAGGAAATTATTGCAGACACTTTAAAATTTGTGTATTGATAATACACAGTATAGATAAGAGAAATTGAAAGCTAGCATGTAAGAAATTCTATTTATTTGGATATTAGACTTGTAAATCCATAGCTACACCCATAAAAGAAAAATGCAGAGGTAACATTTAGTAACTTACTTTTTTGCTTCTTGGTAGATTGATGGAAAAGCGAGAGGTCATTTTATATTGTGACCTTCATGGCCATAGCAGGAAGGAGAACATCTTCATGTATGGCTGTGGCGGGAGTGATAAGTGTAAAGCATTATACTTACAGCAACGAATCTTCCCACTTATGATGAGCAAAAATTGTCCAGATAAAGTAAGCACTTTTTTTTTTAATATAAATTTGTTGATTTCAGAGAGAGGAAGGGAGAGGGAAAGAGAGAGAGAGAAACATCAGTAATGAGAGAGTAGTTATTGATCAGCTGCTTCCTGCACGCCCCCTACTGGGGATGAGCCCGCAACCCTGGCATGTGCCCTGAATCAAACCACGATCTCCTGGATCCTAGATCAATGCTCAACCGTTGAGCCACCCTGGCCGGGCAAAGTAAGCACTTTTTAAGATTTTAACTTTTCCTTTACTAAGCGTTGCCCACATGATACAGCAGAATGGATAATCTTATTCAGTAAACTGATTTTTTATTATTTTGCCTGGTTTTACAATTGACCATAAGAAAGCAACTGTAGAATGTTTAGTGGCCAGTAATCTGAAATGTGAAGAAGAAAATGCCTGTTGTCCTGTCACCATACTTAACAACAAAAAAAACACTGATCATTTTCCTCCAAAGGTCAAGAACAAGGCAGGGATATCCACTCTTATGCCTTCAGGTCAGCCTTTTCCTGGAGGTTCTAACAAGTGCAGTAAGGCAAGAAAAAGAAATACACAGTATACAGATTGGAAAGGAAGAAGTAATAAAGATGACATGACTGTCTTCATAGAAAATCCAAAGCGATCCACAAAAAACTCCTAGAAATAATAAGTGAGTTTAGCAATGTCATAGGAAACAAGGTCAACCCACAAAAACCAATTTAATTTATATGTATTTACAATGAACAATTGGAAACTAAAATTAAAAACAATACCATTTACCGTAGATCAAAAATCAATGAAATATTTGTTACTGCAAAGACATAGCATAAAGGAGTTTTTAGAAGTGATTGAATTGTTCTCTATCCTGATTATGGTACTGGTTACACAAATTTACATGTGTTAAAATTTATAGAATGGAACAACAAAAAGTCAAATTTATTATATGTTAATTTTAAAATAAAATGACAAAAACTTTGTAGATATGGTGTATAACAATTTTTCCGGCAGCTTTCAAATGATCTTTCATATGAAGATAAAGCATCTTTATTCTATTCTGAAAATCTGTAACGCTACTCTTCATTCCTAAACATGTTTAAGCCCCTTCTATAACTTTTTTGACATTTAAGATCTTATCCCAACAGTATTAAGAATTATTTAACTGGGTTTGAATGTATATGTTATGTATAGATAAAAAGTAAAATTCATTGCTAGAATTTAAATCTGTAGTTTTCAGAAATGTAAATATGTCATTCTTAAAATGAGTTCTTTCCATTGGTTAGGAAATAAAAGCAGCTCCTGATGTTTTAGAGAGAATTACTGCTTTTGCACAACTACTTTTTCATTTTCAGCCCTACTTCCTAAGACAGACATTGTTGTTACAAAAACAATGGGTCTCGTTCATTTGCTTCTTTCCAGTTTTCATTCTCAGCTTGCAAGTTTAACGTTCAGAAGAGCAAAGAAGGAACGGGAAGGGTGGTAATGTGGAAAATGGGAATCAGGAACAGCTTTACCATGGAGGCCACTTTTTGTGGATCTACTCTGGGTAAGACCAAATGTTCTCATTCATGGCTCTCAGAGCTTTAAACCAGAGACATTCTTAATGTAAGATTAATAGCATAGATAGTTTAATAGTGAGCACTTTCTTCTCACTTAGATACCTACGGATACCTAATTAATTCTATTAATAGGATGAGAAAACAAACTCCTACTATATGTATCTCTCTCATCATTTCCCTTTGTTAAGAACTGGAAGTTTTAGCATGTAGATGGAATACCTAATTGGTGGTTTCATGAATTAATTCTTAATTGCTTGGTGTATGGTTTTCGTAGAAGGGGTTCCTACAGTTGACTAATGATTTCAAGAAAATCAATGCTCATACTTAAAATATCAGAATGGAAATGTCTTTAATGGATTTACTATTTGTAAGGCAAATAGACTGGTTTTTTGTTGTTGTTTTTTGGTCAATTTATATTTTAATGGAAGCACTTGGTTCCTTGAACTAAAAATAAGTGTTCTGTAGTTCCATTTAAGAAATCTTAGTCACATCTAGCATATCCTTAGAATACTACATATTAAGATAATTGTCACATTGTTAGAAAATGTATCAACTCAAAGGAAAGCTGGACAACTCCACATGCAATTTCTGGCTAGTTTTTGAAGCACCTTGAAACTAGTATATTATTATTAATGATGATGAAAACATTAAAATCATTACCCAAATTTTTCTTTAAGTGATTTTAAGTGATTGTTAAGGTGTTTATAACTGGTAACCAAGTATTCTGTAACTTTCTTACTGAATTTTCTTCTGTCTTACAACATAGACTGATCTCTGTTAAGTCACCTTTGGTCCAAGTGGCAGAGGGGAATGGGGGAAAGAATTAAGCTGTTAAATGACCTGCCCCAGAAAAGAAAATCCAAAGGACAGGATATAAAATCATATCAGATGTTTTGTTTATACTCTGTTTTACAATGTAGGCCTACCTGCTAAGTTAAAAAATAAGTCATCCTCAAGGGTAGATTAACTTATTGATGTTTTAGGTAATAAACGAGGCACTCATTTCAACACAAAAGACTTGGAGTCGATGGGATATCATTTTTGTGATTCTCTCTTGGACTATTGTGATCCAGACCGAACTAAGGTAAGCAAAGTCCATTTGGTAACACTCCAGTCTACCAGATAACATAACCTGCCTATGGGCCTACGGCAATTTATTCCTTTTAATATACTGACTCTTCAGGGTTTTTGGTAGTTGATGTCCCAGTAGCTTTTGTTCCAGGTGTCTATAAATATTCAATTAGTTTAATTAGGAAATAAAGTTACTTTATAATTAACTCATTTATTATTTCCCCCTAGTATTATCAGTGCCTAAAAGAATTAGAAGAAATGCAAAAACATATAAACTTGGAAAAAGTCCTTGATGATTCAGATACTTCTATGAAAGAAGTTACATTGGAGTCTAGGTAAGTCAAGATGGTGGAAGGAATGTCATTTGGTGTGCTATTTTACTGTGTTCTTTATAATATTTCTAGGATGTAATTGCCAGTCTCAACTGAAAATCCTGACTATAGGTGGAGGAAAATTTTTTCCCATGCACATTACTTTGGCCAGGCCTCATCAACACTTTATTCATTTAGTCAAGTAGCATTAACTGAGCACCTACTATGCACTATATTGAAAGACATACTCAAATTGTTTTCATTGCTGTCATTACCCACAGAACTGATACATTTAGAAAGATACCACATAAATGCTCTTATGTTAGTATAATAAGTGCAAACTTCAGTGCTAGGGGAAATGTTGTTGGAAGAAAAAAGGTACTAATTTTAGTATAGGTCTATCAGAATAAATATCTGATTCCTCCCTTTTATTAATAAACTTTGAGTTAGTGCCCCTGTAACCTCCAGGGGTGACTAATAAGTTTGTTTGCAGGTGGAGAGTATCATTTTGAACTCATGGATTTGTTTATATTTGTTCTGTTCCAATCACTTTCAGTCATTTTTCTTCAAATACCCTAAGATGCCCAGAACTACCAAACATCTACACCACATTTGTAAACATTCTTCTCATTATTAGAACTATTTCTACCATTCCAGCAAGTTAATAAAGCAAAAGTAACAGTTGAAATTTTAAAGTGACACCAAAACATTCTGTAAACTAAAATAATATATTTTTTATTTTCTGCAGTAGCCGAGGCTCTGACAGTTCAGAATCAGACTCTCAGACTTATCTTGTCAAGTTAACTTCTCAGGTATGATTGAAAATGTCTGCCTGTGGTATGGATGCGCTAAATAGATGCTCTTCTTATTTGACTAACAATCAGGCAAAAAAAAGTTTACAGTTGTATAATTATTGTATAGCAATAATTGTAATTTTCAGATTATGTACCATGTCTTTAAATCATAGAATTATCTGACCTTATGGTCTCTTAGCACTCTTCCATTACAGATGAAAACAGTTAATACCCAGAGAGATTAAATTATTTCTCAAAAGCCACACCACTTGTTAATGGGAGTTGGTAGCATAACATACATCACCTGTCTGCCAGTCCAGTATTCATTTATTCACTTCTTTAACAAATGTATATTGACTCCAGTTATGTGCTCTAGGGATAGAGCAGTGAACAAAATAAGACAAAAATCCTTCCCTTTCATAGCATATATTCTAGTTGGTAGATATAAAAAATATATTGCCCTAGCTGGTTTTGTTCAATGGTTAGAGCATTGTCTGCGGACTGAAGGGTCCCGGGTTCGATTTCAGCCAAGGGCACGTACCTCGGTTGCAGGCTCGATCCCCGGGATCAGGGCGAGTGTGGAAGGCAACCAATTGATGTGTCTCTCTCACATTGATATTTCTCTCTCTCTCTCTC